CTAGGCTGTTGAGGGCCTATAACGAACCCCCTCATCTGATGATGCATTCTAACATCTATGCCCGTGCTAGGTGGAGGATTCATCGATCCACCTTGACGTGATTCGCTTCCTTCCCCTACCGACCGAGGTCAATTAACACCGGGTTCGTTCATTCATGTCTATCACCGGTTAAGAACAGAACGTCTCCAGGTGGCGTTAACAGTCAAACTTCACCCTGCAGAAATGGTCATCCTCGTTTGGCTTTTCTGTTACAGGGAATTTTTTCATTCGAACTGGACGGGGTTTAGACAGACACGGTACAATCAGTGATGTTTGACGGCCACCACGTCAATCATCTTACGGGGATTCCGGTGGAATGCGATTGATTGGATTCACTATAAATTACAACGGATTCACTTGTATTTGAAAATTTATAGAGCGAGGAAAAGAATTATTAAATCCAAAAGCTGTGGGCATGGTCTTCATCACCATGCGTCCAATACCTTTAACTCAAATCAGACCACAACTACATCAAAGTAAAAAATAAAAAATCTCGTAGCAATCCATTAGTCCAGTGGCACTGAACTTCTGTTTCACAGTATTCCAGATATGGTAACTTACTTCCAGGGCCTTCTTGTGTTGTCTAAAAGGTTGATCAACATTGCCACTTGTGTAGAATCAAAAACCGTCGACACTACAAACTTTGTAATAATCAAATTTTCATAATCGGATGATCTTCTCACCTTAGTTGTTTGTTTTTCATCATCCTCACAGATTCAAACAGCCACCGCGGCCACCGCCACCACCGCTACTGACGTGCAACGCACGGACACGATGACCAAGTTGGTTCAGCCACCGTCCAAGATGGACCCGGAAGAAATCGAGGAGATTGTCTCGCAACTGGAACAACCTCAAACGATCCCCGTACGAAAAAGTGCATTACGACGTGTGANCCAGCCGGTCCATTTCCCTCCTTGACCATCAATTCACACCCATCTTGCCATATCTTTGGTCGAAAGATATAGAATGAACACGCAAGTGCAAGAAAATCAAGGTGTTTGAATTAACCAATTCGATTGTTCAGAGGCACTAGGCACTCTTGATGATCTTGCCTGTGGGTTTCACTCCTTGTGAGATCGTTTATTCCCTACTAGTTGAGTGCATTCAATTGCGATGGTAATGTTTGTGATGACTTACCAAGAAAGAGCACTGGACATCTGTTTCGTCCTGTCTGGGACTCGTCAGTAGTGTGTATTTTTTGTGTCTCTGTCAGGACTTGAACTGTGAACCTTCGCGTCGGGACATCAAATCCTTACCTCTGAGCTGAACGGTCGGCGATCATCATCTTGTGCGAATGGGTCAGTCAATTTTAGATTATAAAGCCTAAAAGTAGCTTTCAAATTAGTGGTATAATTTGCCATTCGTATTCCTTTATACAATTGTTTTTGTTCAGCACGTTTGCGGAAAACTAGTCACATTTTTTAAAAGTTGTTTAAAGAAGTATCAGCTTTCCTGTTCAGTTCAATGCGTTTACGATGAATTATAAACTACCTCTCCCATCCTCAGTTAATGGTGCACCCAAATTTCAGTATCACCGAGTTTTCTCGGCCTCAAACACATTTATATGCGGATTTTGACAAGGAGGCGGTAACGGAATACTCTTTTAGGAGTTTCATAAATGTGCTGATGCTATCGTAATCTATTCCGACACGTTTATACGTTTTATGAAATAATAAATCCACAGAAACAGCATTGAGCTGTTTTAGTGCTAGCCTAAGATATTGATCTCCCGGTCCTCTCTCTCGTTCTACCCCTGAAAATATCAACCCTCCAAATATAAATCGCGATTTTTTCAGTCGCCATGATATTACCAGTAACCTAACTACTGATACGCACTTAAACTCTGCACTCTACAACAACGAGTATTTCAAGTTCCCTCCGTTACAGTTCCACCTCATGAACAACTGATGTTCCACAACGGAGGCTAGTCTGACTGAATCTCTCTTGTCAGCCTGATACGCCTATTCGGGTTTGGTGAGGACAACCAAAGTGGACTGACTTCTGGCTTTGGTATTCTGAAGTTACACCCTCATCTATCCAGATACTATTGAGTTTCACCACACTTACTGAACTTTGACAGTTCAGGAGGTTTCACTACTTGTTTCATAATAAAACGCTGGTTTCAGTTCCGTTGCACTGTCCCACTTACCCTGTGCGTCCCCCCATTCATCGATTACGATCACAGCGGAAAATGTTGTTCTCTCAGCACATTGTTACATCTACTTGAAACATAAAAATCTCCCATGTTTTTCGACCCTCACTAACGTTTTATTCGCCTTTGATCGATCAACGATGTTCCCGTACCGCCAAGCGTGTTGTTGCCTTTCATCTATTTAGTTCCATCTATTTAGTTCCCAAATTTAATTTCATATAGGTAGTTGACCAATCTGTTATCAGGAAGAGAGAGGTACCCAATCAAAACAGTCAAGAGCCAAACAGGAACAAGAAAGTTAGGGGGGTGGTGGTGGCGATGATGATGGTGGTGGTGGTGGTGGTGGTGGTGGTGGTGATGGTGGTGGTGATGATGGTGGCGCAACGAATGTATACGAGATCCCGATAAATGTGGTATATTTCCTGTTCGATTTCAACTTCGAAAACACGTCACGTTTATCCGACACAAACTACTCATGCAGTTATTTTTCCTCAAAATGGATGCTTTCTTATTCTCAACTTCTCACAATTTACCAGGTTCAGATACTTTTTGAATTATCGAGTATCTTTTTCCACACAGTACCCGTTCATCGTGGTTAACTGCGTGCGACACAAGAAACGCCAGTCATCTTTGATCCAATCAAATGCAGTTTATAAATTATCTGTCGCTAAAAAAACACGAGAGACTCTCAGCTTCGACCTATGTGTGGACCGAGAATAACCTGACAGAAACAGAAATATATAACAACCTTCAAAATGTGAGTGTGTTTGAGTGTGTGTCAAGGTCAGACAGCCATGTAACCAAGGGTTGATAAAAGTCATGTAAAGTGATGAAACAAACAACATCGTGAAAACCAGCGTTTTATGTGTACATTGATGGATCAGTTGTACTTTTGAAAACAGACCCCATATGTTACAGTAAGTAGTATATGAATGATTGAGCAAAATTTCC